GGCAAAGGAGAAGAACACAGAGAAGACATGGACAAATACTCAACTACACTGACCAGAACAGAAATAACCAATGGCATGAATGTAACAATTGTTTGCATATATTACAGAAGCTTTTTTATAGACTACTGAAATATTAACTGGTTAGTCATTTATCATCAGCCCCCTCCACTTCCCTCTTCTTCATCTACTCCACCGGTTTGTCTGATTACTCATTCTTCGCTGTGAACATCGCTGCCCTTTGTACTTTCCGTCCAGCCAATACAATTACTGACAACCTAAAAGGAAACATGGTAAAGCCCTGTTACTTTCGTTATTCAATTTTTCCACTTTCTCTTTTCCATCTGACATTTTTTCATTTTCTGTCCGTAAACATGCAAGAATGACCCTCGTACCACCGAGAGCCATCAGTGGGATGCCGTGCTTAAAGTCACTGTCATCTAGTTTTGTTCCACTGCTATATATGTTAATGTTTTCTGATCCTTCCCTCTGCTGGGCTTAATTGCTGGAATCAAGTTCGCAAAATCCTTTTTCAGAAACCTTGGCAGATGTGCAGGTATTTCTGCTTCATCGTAACGGACCGGGGTTTGGGTGAAATTATTCTCCAGAGTTGTTGGCACAAAAATGGGAAACACGAGACAGAGATGAAGCATGATGGATGGCTGATTGAAGATGAAAGATGAACGGCATCTCATGTGGTGACAGCTTTCATCTAATCAAAATGAGCAGGGCGGGTGGGTATGCGTGAGTGCACTTGCCTTCATTCCAATAAGAAAACATACTTTTTCAGTCACATATGCAAATATAAAGGCAGACACACACAGAGCAATTGGTAAAGGAAGTGTTTTCAGTTGGACTTCAAACAGTCTATGTCTTACTGGGGAAGAGAATTGTATGTTCTTGGATGTGTGTGTGTGTGTGTGTGTGACCACCTCCATCCTCCACTCAACTTTCTTCCTGCAGTGCAGTGACACCAGACACCCTGTCAGCAAACTCTCTCATTTAACTTCTCCTCCTGTCTTTCCCCCCTCATCTCCCCAACACATGTTCAAAGTTACTCTGAGATCAATATAATGTGACACTAAAGTACATCTTTAAATAATGTCTCTTTTGTCTTAGAGGCAATTGTGAAATTGTGTTATTGGCAGTTTTCCTAAGAGGATAGCAAGCTTACAGAGTAGCAAGTAGAGAAGCTCACTTCTCCTTCACCCTCTCTTCCGTCTTTGCCTCCTTAGAGTGTAATGGTTGATCAATAATAGGATTAAGCACACACACACACACACACACACACCAAAACTACTCTACAGTTCAGTACTTTCTGGGTTTCAGGTTCACTGTTTGTGTAAGCCAGTGTGTGTGTTTGTGAAGGTCACGTGTCGTATTGCCCTACTTCTGTGTAATTGGTGTTCTCTGAGGACTTATGCTCTCAATCTCCTCTAACACCATCTAGAAACACACACAAACACAAACGCTCAAAGGGCCAAATATCTGACCATCAACTGTTTGTGTCCTCACACATCAATGTGTTTAATCAACACATTACATGCAGAGGCATACAAGAAGCATCTGAGCCTTGTGCGTATAAATAAAACTCCTGACAATTGAAGTATGACAGACAGACGGAGAGAGAGAGAGAGAGATAGAGAGAGGTAGAGAGAGGGAGGGGGAGAGGGGGAGAGAGAGAGAGCGAGAGAGAGAGAGAGAGAGAGAGAGAGCTCAGTGCTTGTTGAGGCGAAGGCCTTACGCAACAGTGAAGAGATTACTGACAAAACAGGACACAGATGCTGGCGAGGTCTGGGATTTCTCCCCTCCTCCACCTCCTGCACCTCCTCCTCCTGCTCTTTCCATCATTTATCCATCCATTTTCTCACATTTTGGACACTCTCATTAATAATGTATTAACAGCTGTATTTTCAGAGTTGCATCGAAATGACAGGTACCTGAAAATGCACCTGCATGACTAGCTAAACTATGCCGTGCCAGCAAGCTAGAAGCTGCAATGTTGATTAAACTCCACGGTGCAAAAGTGTCAAATTAAACAACTACTAAACAACGTCAGCTGGGCCTTACAGCCCATAAAAGCTGGCCCATGGGCTTCTCTGTCTCTCCCTTCCAGCTGACAGCCAACCTGCACCACCTTCTTTTCACCTTCAGCAGCTCCGAAGCACACATCCATCCACCTCTTTTTATTTTTAACCTCTGATAACGTTTGCCACCATAAGCAACAGGTCAAAGTAACGCGGTAGCTGCAAATGCAAAAGTTTGAGCTATTTCTTCTTTTAAAAGTCAAGTTTAAAAGTCAAGTCAAGTCTTTTAAAAGTCAAATTCTCTGTTTAAAGTTCATTATCCCCAAGAGATGCCAGGTGGGATGAAGAGTGAAACACTATTGATGCAATTAGATATAATTAACATATCATTCTTTTTAAATTAAGACAGATCATGAAAGCAATTACTTTGTCAACTCTAATTTAAATAGATTCATCTGCTAGAAGTACACAAATATTTTCTTCTGGCATGTTGGTTTCAACTGTCACTCAATAGCGTGGAACAGTAGAGCAAGTAATCCACCGGCCACACTTGGATGATTTCGGTGTTTGTTCTCCCCTATTAAATTGCCAATATCTGAGACATTTAGCCTATTCAGAGAACTAGTCGACAGACAGACAAAGTAGCAAAATAGACTACGAACACAATACATGAATAAATGAGTTTCAACCGAAAGCTAAAAGGGACATGACAACCATCCATTCAAATACGTTTTTATTACTCATTGATGCCTCATCACAGCCCTTCATTTAGGTCCATACCCTAAAGGTGCTCTCCTCCCCACCCTTTCTTTTTTTTGTGTGTGTGTGGTGTCCCCTCCAGGAAGCAAGTCATTTTTGCTGCTCTCAACTGTGATTTTTCATATAAAAAAATAAATAAAAATAGAACATCTACAAAACAGTCTCACAGGAAGCCTGCATCATCCCTCACTGTACCATTGCAGACACACACTCATCACTGACCCCGCTCTATAACATGCGTCTATTATACACACACACACATTTTGCCAGACAGCTGGTAGGAAGTAGAAGGGGGTTGAAAGAGAGAGATGGATTGTGCGGAGGTGCAATTAAGAGTTGCTGTGTGCCTCAGGCTGATGTGACTGTGTCTTTGTCTGAGGCAGAGACAGAGAACGAGGGAACATGTGTGTGTGCATGGGTGTTTGAATTTCAGTGTGATATGTGAACATGTTCGTCTATTCAGAGAACAGATCAATGCGTCTACAGATTCCCATCTCCCAGTCAAGTACAAAGAGTACCTAGGTGATAGAAATAATGAAGAGACACCAAATAGAGAGAGGGAGGTCAAGGGAAGAGGAATAACAAGAGAGGAGGAGACGAGAAACTTAGTCTCCAGCTCAGACAGCGTACTCATCCTCCTCTTCCTCCTCCTGTTCGATAATGACATACTTCTCCTCCAATCCAAAATCTAATTACTGTGACCTCAGAGCTTCAGCCAACTTTCTTATGCTTTGTCAACCTTGTAAGTTTTTGTCCATACGTGTATTGTATATGTAGGCCCCATGTGTTGCAGTGCCCTTACACCGCATATGTAATTCATGCACACACACACACACACACACACACACCTTTGCTTGCCTCATCAGAGGTCAAATGAAACACAACGCAAGGTGAGTCAACCACTTTGCTGTGCCACCTACATCATCAGTCATTTTCAGGTGGGGGAAGGGTCAACAGGGACATTTATGCGGACACTGCATCAAGGGACCACTCAGGGAACACACACACACACACACACACACACCTTCACATGTAATAATTCATTGTCCATACACACAAAAACTGAGAGTCATAACTCAAAACACAGATACATAAGCCCTTACGAATGAATAAAAACACAACAGTTTTACCATATTTGTGAGAACTTAGTGTTCATCTATTTCACTTATTCTAGCTAACTAACGTTGACCTTAAGAGAATTAACTGAACCTACTCTGATTTCGAGGTTAAAACTTTTAAACTTGCCTGTAAAAGATGTTGAAAATATTATTGTCTTCCGTGATGCTTGACGAATGAGGAAATCATTTTGCAAACAGTCATGCTGTGCACAAAAATACAAAGCAGTCATAATTAAGCTTAATTAGAGCCTGATGTCATATGGCGTTTCATCTCCCTTTCTATACAATTAATCTAGTTTTTTTTGTCTCGTTTGCCTCGAGAAAGAAAGCAGCAGCATCCCCAGCTGGTATGAATAGGAGCGGAGAAATGAAGAGAATTACACAGAGGGAATGGCAGGATGGCAGCTGGGACAGTCAAACACAGAGGATGAGGTGAGTGTATAAGGGATGAAGATAAAAGAGGAGGAAATAACGGTGTGAGGAGGCTAAAGTGGGGCAAAGAAGAGGGAGGACAGCGAAAAAACAGCTCAAACGGGAGAGCGAGGTGAAGCTACCAGGGAGAGAAAGCGACAGACCAAGACAGAGAGAGAGAGAGAAAGAGAGAGGCAATAGCACAACGCGTTTGAAAAGCAAAGATATAAATAAAGTGACTGATAGAAGTGTGTGTGTGTTTCTGTGTGTGTGCGAGCAAGCGTGTGTTTGTTTGGGTCCTGGCTCGCCTCCCGGGAGAAGATACTTCTGTGCTGCCAAAGTTTCATTGGGTCTACCACCATGCCAGGGTCAATGCAGACACACACACACACACACACACACACCAGGGCATGGCATGGGATTAGCCACCATTAAAGAGACAGAAATGGGGAAACAGACAGAGAGTGACAGAGAGAGAAGGTGGACGAATTAAAATCAAAGTGACAGTACTTGAGAGGTGAGAGTTAAAGAGATAAAGGGTTGAGAAGGAACTGCAGTAGGTATAGAAAAAAACTGAGATAGAGATAAATCAGAGAAAGGCAGAAAGAGAGGCAGGGAGATTGAGGGAGAGAGGGGGGGAGGGAGGGAGAGAGAAAGAGAGAGAGAGAGAGAGAGAAAGGAGGGAGGATCACTGGGCTCCGCGAGCATGCGAGGATCAGTAGCAACAGAATGAGACGGAGAGAGAGAGGATAGAGCGCGGCAAAGGGTTGGAGGAGAGCGCTCCGGAGGACTAAAGGACTATCAGAGATGAGAGAGAGACATCGAGAACAAGCATGTGGACCAAAGGGGAGGATAAGAAAAGGTAAGTGAGTGAGAAAGCAACGGAAGACAGTTGTGAGGAAAGATTACAGTGTATACAGTAAGTGTATGTGAGTGAACGCAAACAAGCCTGAAAGGTTTTCTTTTTTGTTAAAGATGCTCTATTTTGACCATCTGTGGAATCTCTCCAGTTGCGTAGGTCGCAGCTATAGTTCTTTATTTTCAAAGCAGCTCATTCAAGATTTAAGACACCGGCCAGAATTTGAATGGATGTACTGGTGATTGTTTGGAAGCGAGCCACAGTGAGCCAATTGGAGTAATGGTCAAAATCCTTAGGTTTAACCTCTGGACTCTGGAGAAACCCTCCCCCCCCTTAAAAACAAAAACAAAATCCACAGTAACTGGCTTTGTTTGGGCGTCTTGTTTACTACAGACTCAGTAGCTTTGACAAAGGTGTGTACATATCTACTTCAGGAAGGCTGCTTATGGCAACAGTTTGTATTCTTATTTATTTTTAAAGTAGAACGATCACAGCATCACAGTGTGTATGTGAATATGTGTATGTGTGTGTGTGTGGCAGGTGAGTAATCCTACCCATCTGTCACAGTAGGATTTGCTGCATATGATTACGTCTGTGTGCCTTTATGTACTGTCTGTGCATAGTGCTTATTCTGTGTGTTTTACCATGCAACATCAGTTATTAAAGCTAGTGTAGCTTTAATATAGGATTATATTGCAATAACCCTTCTCTTATACACTAATGCTGCCCCTGTACATCTGCGTGTATATGTGTGTGTGTGTGTGTGTGTGTGTGTGAGGGAGAGAACAAGCAAATGTGTGCAGGAATCTACAAATGAGACAGTGTTGATAAATGTGACCCGTGTACTTTACGATTATATAACCTCATCAGTTAGTTAAGAACATACCTTAAAATGAAAGTGTGTGCATATGCATGTGTGTTTGTGTAACACTATCAAACAGTCTTTCATTGGCAAAGACAAACACATCAAGTCAAGTCAAAAACAGAGTAAGGAGATATTCTTAGTCTCCCTTTACTTTCAATTATTGATAGAAATGCCATAACGCTTAAATGTATAGGGAGCTTGTTGTGGGTTAGGGGTTATAAATACTAAGTGCTTTTCTCTGTTTTCGTCCTCCTCGGATGAAAGAATGATGCAAACCCAACATATGCAGGAATTTGAGTCAGTACGAATCAAATCCTTACAGATTAAATTTTTTCTAACAAATGTGTACTATACAGTTTTATTTTGTTATTATCATAATGCTTTCTTTTTCAATGTTGTATATTTGCTTTGAGTCATCAACTGAGAGAAACAAATCAAAACTTCTTATGGCAACATTTCAAAACTCTGTGTAAGATGTGCTTGCAAGTTGTTTACATGTCTTGTATTAAAATCATCCCGGCAGAGATAACACACATATTGGAAACAACTGCAACGTAGAAGGAGATCAGGGGTATAATGGGTATAATGCAAATTAGAGGCTAGGGAAACCCAATCAATAGGTTAGGACATTAAACGGCCTTGACTTTAATTACATCACTTTTCTCCTGAGAATGACGGATGATGGGGAGAAAGAGAGATAAAGGTTAAAGGAGATTGACAGCGAGACAAAGTCAGGAGAAATGTGTGTACTTTCATATGCATCTTTGTGTGTGTGTGTGTGCGTGTCACTGACACTCTGCTGACTGTGAAAAGGTGATGAGGTGCGGTGAAAGAGAAGGACTAGAAAGTCAGAAGGGCAGGGAGATGGATTAGGGAGAGGGAGGGAGGGCAGCGGGAGGGGGGGGGGGGGCAACAGGATGGAGAGGAGAGAGGAGGAGAGATAGACTGGGGGTTAATGATGGCTATTGGAGGGGATGAGTGATATACGGCAGAGGAGAGAAGGATAAGATGATAGAGGAGGATAGAGAGAAGAGAGAGAAGTGAGAGAGTGAAGATAGGTGAAAAGGACGGATAAAAAGACGACTCCAAAACAGACTATACAGTATCACAATCTATTAGCACACTGATAAGATGTGTGTGTGTGTGTGTGTGTGTTCCCCTGATGGCTTACAGGATCTAGTTTTCCACTTTATCGTGTTTATCTCTGATTATCAAATATTTGTAGGCAAATCTCATAAATATTCAGTTTACATTGGTTTCCCGGCTCTGTTGCTCAGCTAACACACTCTCCTCTAGCCAACAACAAAACAAATGAATTAAGCCGGCAGATGGATTTGTCAATGGTACACTCTTTGTCTATATTTCACCCCTTTCCTTGTTACACCTAACTGGTTGTAAATACGACTGCACCATAAAACCAAACATAATTATTATTTTTTTCCTCTGAGGGCTCTCTGAATGGAACACGACATCACTTTGAATCATGTCCTATTTCTTCCCTTGTAAACAAGTAAAAGAGGCTAAAAACTTTGAAGGAAAAAAAGTTCAAGTTGGATTTGTAGAAAAAGAGCCCAAAACAGGTATAAACACATCCTCAGTTAATGAATTCATATTTGTGGAAGTGAAAATGAAGATGAAAGTTGATTTATATACTGATATAAAATAGCCATTGATCTCTGGGTGTAATCCCTTAACATTTTAAGATGCAATATATGACATCGACGGATGTTCACGCATGCTAGGTGCAACTGAAAATTCTCAAGCACCTTCTAATTAAGTCAAATTAATATCATTGTTATTATTCCTCAGAGAAGCTAGTCTGCCTCACATGTCTAATGGAGAATCAAGTAATCTAAATAAGACTAAATTCATTTTCTGCCTTTGTCTTATTGATGCATCACTGATTAAAACATGCATGCACGCACGCGCACACACACGCACACACACATACGGTGAAGTACACAGTTTGTGCAGAGGCAAGGACTGTTGGCTCACAACAACTTATAGCTTACAGGGGGTCTCTAGACACATGACGGCAAAACACAGAATCCTGGAATTCATTCATGTTTGGAGCAAAGTTAAATTCTCATAAGCAAATCAAAGATGGTGGACTAGATTGTAATGTAACTTTATCATGAACACACAGTACACAGTGTGCATTAGGGCAGTTGTTCCCAAAGTCGGTGCCTTGAGGACAGGTCATGGATGCCACAAGATTTATCATACTGTTAATTTATGGTGCATTTTTACAGTTTAAAAACTTTCAAAAGGGCTAATGACTTAGTAACACAACATGCTTTCCTGGTCGGGAGATTCTCAGGAGCTCAGCAGATCAGAAAAATAGTGACGGTCAGAGCTAGCGATGATAAGATTTGACAGAGCTCAAAGAAATGATGACACATCTCAGCCCTCAGGAGTAAAGTCAGACTGGCCACTACTTGGCTTAACGGACAGGTTCTGGCTGCTGTAGAACGAGGGATATCTATCATTGTCCGATTCTCTGTGGTATTCCCAACATCATACATGTGTGACGCGGCTCTCTCTTCTCAGGTACACATGAAAACAAAACAAGAAACCGACTGTCAGTGGGGTCAAAACCTGCAGGTTGTGTTCTCTCTCTCCACAGCAACAGCTGGCCAACGTATTCTATTAAAACACCTGCAACCTTTTTTTGTTTTGTTTCGTTAATCTGTCCTTGTACACCCTAAAAATAAGCTCAATTAAATTTAGAAAAAAAACCTTAAAAATGTTAGCTTATTTTAATTGTATTAATTGTTTATTTTAAGCTAAATATTTATGTAATATAATATTGCATCTGAACCTGTTGTACTGAGGGGTAGGGGATATTTTCAGCGTTCTAAATGTTTGGGATCCATCGCTGTAGAGCACAGCCCTTTCTAATATTCTATTTATCATCAAATAATGTTTTGTGAGTGAGTGTTGAAAACCTACATTACGTTCTGTGTTTCCATGTTTCCATTGTTTGAACTAGCTGCCTTGAAGAGACACTTGAGTGTCTTACTATCAGCGAGGTACACGCAATCTGCCCCAAACAATGCGAATGAGAACCAAACTTGGATTACGCAGGGTTGGCCGAGATACTTGGCTTTTGAGAGTTGAAGATTCTTTGGTTGAAATGCTAATTTAAAGTGCACTGTCCCTGAAAAATACAGTTGAACCCAATTAAAATGCACAACAAAACCAACTGCAGAAAGCTGAGCAGGTTTCCGGGTTGTTTTGAGGATCATTACTGGATCCCTCCTTCTGTCTGGAGTGCAGTGATAGTAAATGTTAAAACTGTACCATGGCGCTTGAGAAAAGGTGAAACCAATTATGTAGACAAAAGAATAAAACATTTAAAATGTGCACACATACTGTATATCTGCAATGCAGCATGCAAATACCGGACATCTGCAGACATACCATATTCATTTACAAGCAGAAATGAAACCAATACGAGTATTTGCTACTGCTACTGATAGAAAATAGTCCCTTTCCATCAGTTCACTGTACTTATTACACACACATGTAGAACATAACAGTTAAAACACAAGCTGCCTTATATTTCGAAAGAGGATTATCAGTAATTCTGCTGAGTTTCCATTTTAACCATGTTCATTCGGGTAAAGCAGAGCAGTCGTAGATTAGCCATCAATCAGATCAGAACGAATTGGAGAGGAGGTCTTAAAAATGTAACAGCCATACTTAGTTGATTGTTGTGGCGTCTGTGCTGACATCACTCCAGCGTCTTCCTACAATTATTCATTGACAAATATCTGTGCATGTAAATATTTCAGATTTTGTGCTTTGATTCATATTATGGAAATATAAGATGTTGCAAGAACTCTTTTAAACTTATTCACGTTGATTTGGGGAGTGCCCTCAAGAGTAGGACCTTGTTTGTTTTCAATTATTTTCACTAATATAACACTAATATAATTATATAATGATATAATGGAAAACAAAATATTTTGTTGCTTTGAGCCCAGACAGCAGAGAAAAAAAAAACTGACTACACTACCCAAAATGCAGTGTGTGCCCTGTCTCTGAGGGCCAATAAAGAGCTGCGTTTGTTCTTTTGTGTGATTACAGAGCAGTAAAGCGAGTCTCAGTCTCCCTAAAACACACACACACACACACACGCGCACGCAGCCCGTCAATCGGCAGTTGAAAAATGAGGCTCACCTTGAAACGACAGAGGACTAGACTCGCTGGAGCATCCAGTGCTCTGTTACCACTGCAAAGGCGTGGGTGTGCACTCATTCTCTCTCTCACACACACACACACACACACACACACACACACACACACACACACAC